AAAAAAAAAAAAAAAAAAAAAAAAAAAAAAAAAACAACTTGAATCTTAATTAATTTTTTCAAACTCTTGCGAGGATCTGGGCGCGATGAACCCAGATCATGAATACGTTTGTCAACAATGCAAGTCAAGAATCTGAAGTCGCAAATAATTTCCAATAATCGAATAGTGTCCAGAAAAAAGGAGGTGAGATAACCATACACAGTCGAAGAGGGAGGAGGGAGATGAGACAAAGGAGAGGAAGATACAAGGCCCACTCCTTCTCCGGGCTCCCTACACAATCACCACCTCACAGAACCATTAATCTGAACACATAGTCGAAGTCCTTCTACAATGTGCCACGTGGCACCTAATTAGTCCCCAATCATCGCTGGAGCAATGTCAACATGAAGAGCACAGGTACGTATCCACAACCTCCCCACAGTCCTGATCTCCTCCTACAGTGACGATGAAATATCCTGATCTCTTCCTGAAGTGCCGAAGTGAAGAACAGCAGAGCCGGTCACAAAGACCCGGATACATGACACGTGGCAGCAGCCACGCCAGCAGCAACGCATGGCAGCTGCCACGTCAGCATGCCTCATAGACAGTAGCCAGCCAGTCACCATACCACCCAGCAGCGCGTCGCCACAGTCTCACAAATGCCAGCACTATGCCAACGTCACCAGCGTCCCAGCGTCAAGCCGGCGTAGCAGCGTCAAGCCGGCGTCGCGTCGTCAACGCGTAGAGTCAACGTCAACGCTAGACAAAATGAATACCTCAATGCCAGGGAGTCAACTCTTATGCAGTGTTTACTCGGGGTCTGGACCCCGGATGCTGTATCCCTCGGCCGTCCAGATCTCAATGCGAATGAGGGCTCAAATCGGCCTGAAACCGAATTCCCTCCGGCCTAGATGCTGTTTGGGTACATGCGCACAACAAGTGAGTGTATCCAACCAAGGGCCTGGGTGCAGTACCTTTGACTGTACAGGTCTGACTTCCCCTTGTCATTTCCATGACAGATTCCAACTTCTTAATTGCAAACTGGTCCAGTGCCTGACGGCACTGGCCTATCATTTTCATGACTTCAGCCCCGGCCGCCGCGACCTCCGCGCCCACAACTGCTTGGTTCAGGCGGTTCTCTACCGTCTGCAAATCAAACAGATTGCGGACGTGACTTTCGGCGTCGGGTCCAGAGAAACGCATATCATTCAACAGTCGGTTCCATAGTGCAAAAAACTCTTGCTTCCTTTCCTCGGCCTGTCTCCGAGTCTTTGGATCGGAGGTTCCCGCACCCGAGAAGAATGCCATTGGAAAAAGGAGCAAGAGTATCTTCCACATTCCAAACATTTTGGAAATCGGAGTGGAGAAGATATTTACAGCAGGGATACAGAAAAATAAAAAGAAATAAAAAGAAACAGAGTTTTCTAACTGTTGTTCTTTTCTTTGTATGTGTGATGACGTCCTATGCAATGTACAGGTACTACGTCAGGCCCGTGTGATCAGGCACAACACACAAGTAAGTATGCAAACACCACACACAACAACGACAGGTAAGTATTCCAACAACAACACAAACAGTTTGTCAGCACTCCTTATCAATTCGCTGTGTCTTCTGAGTGTCAGTGCGATGATGCACTCTCCCGGAAAGCTAGCACTACAGCTGTATAATCAACTCTGTCAGCCGTACCGCCGTAGTCTTCAGAGTGCCCTTCTTACTTGGCAGCAATCCTGCCTGCCACGTGTCACCCCTGGAGTGCCAACACAGCAAGTCTTGCTACGTCAGCACAGTCTATCCAGTCTATCAATAGGGTATGACACATCAGCAAGTATGTGTCCTGATCCTTGTCACGTTCCACCTTGTCGCGTCTCGTTGAAAGACCATCAATGTTCCAGCCAGTCAAGTTCAGTGCCACGTCCGGCCAGAGTTCAGTGCCACATCAGCAAACAGACACCTCCTTAACAACGGGTGTGATGTCTTGATGTCTGCCACGTCAGCAATCAAGTCCCACTCAAGGCCACGTCAACATCAACAACGGACCCTGTCACGTGCAGCATC